AACAAATGCAACGGCCTAAAACCCTGAACTTTATGAATCCCAAACTCTACACCCTAAACTTAAGAATCCAGAACCCTTAACCCTAAACCCTAAACCCTAAACCCTAAACCCTAAACCCCTAAACCCCAAACCCGAAGCCCTAAACCCCTAAGCCCCTAAACCCCTAAACCCCTAAACCCTTAAACCCCTAAACCCATATCTGCCCTCAGTTGCAGGGCATCCTGCTGCGCAACGTCACGATCAGGTTTCGGCCCATAGTGCGGGAAGAAGCGGTCTTGACCCACGCTGTTAGGGTTTAGGGTTCAGGGTTGAGGGTTTATGGCTCAGGGGTTTGGGTTTAGGATTAGGGGTTTAGGGGTTTAGGGTCTAGGGTTTGGGGTTTAGGGTTTGGACTCTTACTGCAAAAACCCGAAATCCTGCATGCTATACGCAAAACTTCAGCTGGACATTCAACCCTGAAGCCTGAGCTTTAACTAGATCGTTTTTCCTGAGTCTTAGACTTCAACTTGTTATTGCAATCCAAGCTTTCATCTGTGGCTCGATATGAGTTCCTACTCCCCTGGACCCTGAATTCAGGAGGTTCCAGGGACGTCAGTAGTCATGCTCGAAGGAACCCTGGATTCTGGTCGGTGCACCTCTGGAATTGCGAGCATGTGGCGGGCTCGGAGGGCACGAAAGCGGCTGCGGGTTTAGGGTTTACGGGTTTAGGGGTCAGGGTGTAGGGTTTGCCGAAGCCCTGAAGCAAAAACTCCAAGCCCTAAACACTAAACCCTAAACCCGAAGTCCTGAACCCTAAACCCGAAACCCCCTAGGATCCTGAGTTGAAGGCTCTTGAAGACAGGAGGTTCATTGACTACCACGGTTTAGGGTTTAGGGTTAGGGTTTAGATCAGCCTTGAGCAGAAGATCTCGTACGTCTCCGTGTAGGTTTGGGTTCAGGGTTCAAGGCAGAATCACATCCTAAGCCCCCAAGCCCCGAAACCCCTAAACCTTAAACCCTAGACCCTAAGCGCCTATACCCGACCCGGAAAAAACTTAAACCCCTACCTAAACCAGTCAGGCTTGAGGAAAGAATCCCATCCTGCACCTCCGAGCTTGCTTTAGCAGGTCACCGTCCAGCACCTCACCATCCTCGTTGAGCCGTTCTCACCTCAGGAACTGCCCTGTTGGGCCATTTTGGGGTTCAGGGTGTAGGGGTACATATAGTTTAGTACTTTGTTACTTTGTACTGACATAGTCTTTAGCCCTGTTCGGTAGTTATGAGAGAGTAAAGCCCGAAACCATATTGGTATAAGGCCCCGGCGGAGGTTTGGCTACAGGGCTTGTGGTGTTTCCGTGTGGATCTAAGTTTGGAGACTGTTGGAGGTGCAGCATTTAGCGCAGGATTGACGGTTTAGGGTTGAGGGTTTCGGCTTAGGGTTTAGGGTTGGCTTCCGAGTTCCGAGGTCCCCAACCGCCCGTGCCCTAAGCCCTAAGCCCTAAACCCAGCCCTAAACTGCCCTAAACCCGAAACCCGAAACCCTAAACCCTAAACCCTAAACCCTAAACCCTAAACCCTAAACCCTAAACCCTAAACCATCATAATCCTAAACCCCTAGGAGCCCCAACATCAGATTGTTGAGTGACCTCAGACCTGCAACCTTGCGAGGTCCAAGCCCAAAGCTGAAAATCTCTCACACTGAAACCTCTGAACCCGTATCCGCTCGACGGAACCTTTGAACCCATAATAGAGGCCTTAACAATTATCGATACTATTTTGGGGGTTCCTTAGTCACCAGTTGTAGTATAACATACCCCGAAACCCTATTCCTAATTATGAAGGCCCCTATATTTAACTCACTCCCAAACCGTACACACCTAAACCCTACAGCCCCTCAAAAGGTGGGACCCCATGATTCGGCCCACCAACACGGACGGCGTGAATCCAGATTCCAGTCGGCATGTGCTCATCGAGGACTGGCTCTTGTGGTTCAGGTTTCAATCCCTTAGGCCCAACCTAAACTGTAAACCCTAAACCCTGGCAGGGCTTTTTCCCTTTGCCGCAACGCGGAGAAAGGCACACTACACTTGGAAATAAGACCTAAGCCCTAAACGCCCCTAAACCCCAAACCCTAAACACTCTAAGCCTTAAGCGGCCCTAAACCCTAAACCCCCAAACCCTAAACACCGTAAACCTTAAACAGCCCTGAACCCTAAACCCTATAAGCCCTAAACACCCTAAACCCTGAACCTCCGAACTGTGGCTCTCCAAATGCCCCTTCAGATTGGGGGTCTTGTGTGGTTTAGGAGTTTGGGTTTAGGGTTTCCTGACTTGTACAGCTTTAAGAGTTCAAGGCTTCGGGTTTCAGGGTGGCCTCGGATCTGTCCCAAAGGGTGGGTGGTTCGCTTGTTTTTGGGGTTTAGGGTTCAGGAGGTTTAGGGGGGATGCAGGTAGGCTGTGAGGTCGCCACGTAGTGGGCGCCGAGGATCCCTAAGTGGAGATTGAAATAGAGAACACCCAGAAGTCCTAAACCGTGCATCCTAATATAGGGACCTTAATAATTACCTATACTTTGTTGGGGGTTCCTTATGATGAATATAGTATAATATACCCCCAAACCCGTTTCGAATTACTAAGGCCCCCACGTGTATTCGGGAAGATGAGTCCGAACTATTGCTTCCCACTCCCCCCAGCATTCCCAGACCTTACCCCTCCTAGATCCCATTAGACCTAAACCCTAAACCCTAAACCCTAAACCCGAAAGATCCCATTAGACTGGCCACGAATGAACTCTCGGCTGCCTGGACTCGGGGGCTTAAACACTTGTTGGACCAGTCTTCTTACTGTGATATAATATAGGGGCCTAAATACTTATGATTGTTGTTGTGGGGTTCCTTAGTATGATGATAGTATAATATACCCCAAAACCTTACTCTAGTTAGTAAGGCCCCTACATTAGGTTTGCTCATTATGTGGTGGTTTCGTCTGCCTTAGACCTTGTGCCCTTGCTTTGGAGGACAGCTACTTCCAGACCGGGGACGATGCAGTGGCCATCAAGAGTGGATGGGACTGCTTTGGGCGCGGGGCTCGGCACTGAAGCGGCAGTTTCGGCAGTGGAGGGCGCTTGGGTCCTTCGGTTGCGCACTGAAGATGTCCAAGAGCTTGAGGTGAAAAGCTCGATCCCACATGGTCAGTAGTAGCGTGTCAATGTCTTTGCCAGCCAGCAGCGATAGTAAATAGCAACTCGGGACGGGTATGAGTAAGCACCACGGCAGGGATGTAAGGACGACGACGACTTGTTGGTCACGGAGTATGACTCACCGGCTCCACCGCCACCACTTGTTTGAACTTACATACTTGTGCTAGTAGCTCAGGATGGAGGTGATCGTCTTGGGCGACGTGGGTTGGGCATTGAGAAGAGTCTCGGCTCGCGAGGTGGAAAACGTAGCTGCACGCTCAATGTGGTGCTCGCGGCATGCCGCACTTCTGTGTTTAGCCTTCGCAATGGTGTGTCAAAGCCACAGGTTCGTGGAGCTGCAGGAGATTCTTACCAACGCAGCTAGGTGGTGGGAGCCCTTCTCCATGGATGGCGTTCAGTACCTCGCAGTGGCCAATGACTTCGATGGCAGCTCTGTCAATATTGACTCCAAGATTTACCGGTGGGACGACGCCAGAAGCGTCTTCTTGGAGATGCAGAGCATTCCCACCAAAGCCGCCCAAGGTATCACAGCCTTCGCCATGAATGGGATTCAGCACCTTGCAGTGGCAAATCACCATGATGGCAGCTCTTCCAATGTTGACTCTAAGCTTTACAGGTGGGACGACGCCAACAGCACCTTCTTCGAGATGCAGAGCATTCCCACCAAAGGCGCGACCGACATCACAGCCTTCTCAATGAATGGGATTCAGCACCTTGCAGTGGCAAATCACTATGATGACTCTAAGCTTTACAGGTGGGACGACGCCAACAGCACCTTCTTCGAGATGCAGAGCATTCCCACCAAAGGCGCGACCGGTGTCACAGCCTTCTCAATGAATGGCATTCAGCACCTCGCAGTGGCCAATTACGTCGATGACAGTGGCTCTCTCAACATTGACTCCAAGATTTACAGGTGGGACGATGCCAAAAGCACCTTCTTGGAGATGCAGAGCGTTCCCACCAAAGGCGCTCGCTGTATCATACCCTTCTCAATGAATGGCATTCAGCACCTCGCAGTGGCCAATTTCCAGGATAGCACGGGCTCTGGCAATATTGACTCTGAGGTTTACAGGTGGGACGATGCCAGAAGCGTCTTCTTGGGGATGCAGAGTATTCCCACCAAAGGCGCGTTCAGTTTCACAGCCTTCTCTATGGATGGCATTCAGCACCTCGTCGTGGCCTCTTACAGTAGTGACTCTGAGGTTTACAGGTGGGACGATGCCAGCAGCACGTTCTTGGAGATGCAGAGCATTCCCACCAAAGGCGCCCACGGTTGGGCAGCCTTCGCCATGAATGGCATTCAGCACCTCGCAGTGGCCAATTCCGTCGATGGCGGTTCGTACACCACCTACTCCAAGGTCTACATATGGGCGACCAGCACCACCACCACCTCCACGATCACTAGCACAACCACCATCACCACAACACGCACCGAGGCTCCCTCTGTCCTGGCAGCAACTGACTTTGCTTTCGAGGATGTAAGATCCTGGTCATTGGCCGCCCTGGGCGGCTACCTGGTTGCTTTGTCGGTGCCCATCTTCATGGCCAAGATGTGCGAACAAGCCGGTTCGCGAGCGCGTCAATCCATCGGAGAATCGCAGATCGTCGGAAGTTCCATTGAAGAAGCTGCAGAAGATCCGGGTATACTGCCAGGTTCAGTAGTGCAAGCGGATGCAGCGTCAGCAACCGAAGCAGTTCCTGGAACTGAAGCCACGCAGTCCGAAGGAACGCCCTTAGCTCAAGCTCAAGGTCAAGCTGCTCCGCAGAAGTTCCTCCCGAGTCTCGGTCTTCCCAAAACATTTACCGGGGCTCGGCAAATCATGAACAAGTCTCCATACATCCTGGCAGTGAAGATGCTTCTGGAGTCCGGGAACCTGCTTTCAACGCCCCCTGGCTTACACAAAAGGTGAATATTGCAGAGCGGGAAAGATGCAATACTTTCCAAGAGCTTAACATGTCCCGATACTGTCCCTGCATCTTTTCGGTTTATTGTGGCATGACCAGTATGACAGCCGGGTGCTCTGTGTTCGAACAGTTGTAGCAGTGAATCCAGCTGAGGATGCTCTATGCCATGGAAGCACATCAGCGGGCAATCTTGGTTGGCTTTTCAGCACAGTGTGGAGAAGGCACACTGACCCCTCACGACTCAAAACCCGTCCCGAACCCTTCAACTCTCAACCCTGTAGACCCTCAGCCCGTTGCCATAAACCCGACAGACCCTGAACCCTATAAACCTTAAACCCTATAAACCCTATAAATCCCAAACCCTAAACCAAACCCTCAGGCACCTTGATGCCCTTGAAGATCTCGGAGTGTCGGTCTTGGGCCGAGACAGCAGAGCTGGCAGAGCTTCCAGCTTGTGCTGCCTTTCTGGGCGTGAACGCTCTGTGCGAAGCAGATGCAGAGGCGAGTTCCAACGAAGTCGGTTTAGAGTTTAGGGTTTAGGGTTTAGGGTTTGAAACGAGGTTCAGCACGGATGAGGAAGATGCTCGTAGATTAACCAGACTAAACTTGATGCAGAGTGTCATAGTTTGATGCTGTGCAAGGCAGACGACGGAAGCTGCATGGTGCCCAAGGAGTTGGACAATTGTGGCGATTTTGATGTGTACAAGATGCAACAGCTAGCCTGTGGAGCGATCGGTTGCAAAGCTCTAAGCCACATTCTCTGGATAGCTGCTCTGATGTCGTTCGGCGCAACCGTTGCTTGGAACGCCGGCTTCTATGCTCGTAGCCTTCACAGACTACAGCGAGAGGAGGCCCGGCGGCTGTGCATCAGATTCAAAGCCCTGTTTGCCTTCCTTGCCGTCTTGCTGGTGACCACCACGCTCGTTGGATTTGCTGGTGGCAGTGGGGCAGTCTTGGCAATGGCCTTGCTGTGCCCTTTGCTGCCGGTGTGTGCTTGGGTGCTGGCCGCATGGCTCGCTTCCTTGCCGACGAAAGGCAAAGAGGCCAGGCAAAGTCACTGTTGAACGTCGCCTATACCGCCCACATAGACTACATGGCTTCGATGTCCTAAACCCTAAACCTCATAAACCAAACCGTGCTGCGGACCTTTCGATGTTTTGAGGCCTTGTCCCGGTGTCCCATACGCAGGCGATCGTGAACCAAGCGGCAGCCCTGGAGCTTCCAATATTCAATGTGTTCGTCGCTCTGAATTTGACCCTCGGCCAATATATTTAGCTAGTGTCAATAAGTACGTGTGTATGTAGCTGGAATATATATATATATAAAAATATACACACACATATATATATATATATAGTTAGTGCTAAAATGTATACACTATGTAATAAATCTCCCTGAATCCCTAAGCCCTCCATGTCATCGGTCTTTTCCTCGTCTTCTGTGGTGCAGCAAGTTGCAGATTAGCAGGTATCACGTCGGGGCAAAACTACTCGCCAGAGCCTTTCGGGTCTCGCATTCCAGCCTCGACACGGTTCAGGGTTTATTAGAGTTTAGGGTTTAGGGTTTAAAATTTAGAGTTTAGGGTTTGCAGGTCAGAGAAGGACGTCGAAGCACTCAATTCCTTCCGCATCCCGCTTAACATGGGACTTCGAGTCATGGAGGACGTGCCAGAGCTCATCATTGGCCTCCTTGACTTGGTCTCTCAGCTTCTCAAACACCCTACAGCGAACCCCAGAAAGTTGGAACATGGATTTAGGATGATTCGTGCTAGGATCCCTTATGTTTTACCATTCAGGTACCAGGAGAATGATGTTCCAACTTTATGGCTTCTACTTTATCAGTTCCCTAAATTGCGATTCAAGGGAGTTTTCACTGGAGGCGCAACACTCGGGTCAAACATGTGCAGGTTCAGACGCTGTTCCGTCTTGTTTCGAACTTCTTGAGAAGTTTTTCAATTTCCATGAAACCCAGACTCTAAACCCCAATCCCTAAACCGCACAGCCTTAATCGGCAAGCTACCAAATTCCCCTTATAAGCCCTAAACTTGCAACCCTTCCAATATTCGGAGGGTGTTTGCCCAATGCCGAGGTCTACTTCGGTGGATCCTGGCACCGCGGCTTACAACTTCTTAGCGGCTGAGTAGGTAACCTTTAACCTTTTAAGGTTTAGGGTTTTATGGGGGGATTTTATTATGCCTTCTAGGGCTGCTAGGGTTGATAGGGCACAGAGGGTCTTATGGGGCGTATAGAGCTGACAGGGTTTATAGGGTTATAGGTTTACAGGGTTTAGAGTTTATGGAGTTTATAGGTCTCAAACTTTACACGCAGGCCATTCACATTTTTGTTCGTTTTGACAAGGCTTCATCGCTAGTGTATCCGTAACGGATGAGAACCCTTGAAGCAGGCCCTCGATGCTCTTGCATTCCTGTCTGAATGGGGGAATGGATCCCTTTGATAGTCCCTTAGGGTCCCCTATAGTAGTCCCTACAACCCATTCCCCCATTCCCTACTAAGCACCAGACAGAAGGTACGCGTGGTTCGGAATCTTGATGTCCATGGCGATGCTTGTGTTCGATTTGCTCCTGAGTGCCCTGCTACAGTGCCAACAGTCCGCAATGAAGATTGCACGGAAGACGGTGGACACGGAGTGACCTGCGCAACACCACCCGCGGTGGTGTCATATAGTGTCATATAGTTACCGGGTTTCAAGAAGGGTAAGTATGCTCAATGTGGAGTTTCTTTTCCATGTGGCCATCCTGGGTCAGCCGGAACAACGGCAGCTCATGGAATGCCGGAAGCGCTAGAACATCGCGCAGTTTCCGGAGCTTCGAGCGCTTGACGTCCGTTTACCCTTATGCATCTTTGGGCCTTGTTGGGGGCCCTGGCTGCAGAAAGCCATCCTGGATGAAGCTGTCCGTGGGAACAACCCGGAAACGCTTGAACCTCCCGGTGGTGGTGTGACGGATTTCTGGTGTAGAGTCGCAAACATTTGGAGAGCTGGATGTCAGAGACATTCGCTGTCACCCTTTCTGGCTCCTGTCCGGGTCTGAGCAACGTATGTCAACGACGCCACGTGTCGAAGACACTCGCTTTTGTACTTTTGCATCTCTGGGATTTCTTTGGGCCTGACCAAGACCCTTAACCCTCAACTCTAAACCCTGAATTCTACACCCTAAACCCTAAACCCTAGACCCTAAACCCAATAAGTCCTAAACCCTATAAGCCCTATTACACCCTAAACCCCATTCTTGGGGGCCTGGCCAAAGAAACGTCCTTTTCACCTGCCTGGGCCGTGCGGTGCCGGGGCTTCAGAAATAGCATTAAGAATATTAAGAATAAGACAAACATCACTGATACTAAACGCATCCTGCGCCGGGGCTTTCGGCTCTCGGGGGGGCTTTTCGCCCACGTGCCTTTAAGGACCCGGTTTTCCCACCTGCAGCCAGCCAAGAGGGACCAGAGACCCCGCAGATGCATAGAAATGCTGAGTGACCTTGGGGACCGCATGACCCTTATAAGTAAGGGGCCCTATACCTCCTGTATCCCTAGACTAGGAATCCATATACGGTATATGAGCCTCAAACCCGTTTAAAGTTCATGTCGTCCTTAAGGGAACCTTTGCAACGTCACTGAGTTGCCAACATTGACATATGCGTCTATTGGCGACTTCCAGGAGTAACCTTGCACTTCGCCTGCTGGTAGCCCTTTCAGTGTACAGTCCATATAGTAATCCGCCAACCCTTGTAGTAACCCTTATAGTACATGTTGATCTCCGGTGAGATTAGGTTTAGGCCCTAAACCCTAAACCCTAAACCCTGAACCCTAAACACTAAATCCTAAACCCTAAACCCTACACCCTAAACCCTAAACCCTGAGTCC